GCGGAGGTTGTTTATGCTGGAGGTTTTACAGTCTCTCTTGAAACTAACGTGAGCTATCCCTGCTGTCAACATATGTGTGAGCTGACTAAAGTAGCCGTTTTAATCGTCCCTCCCCTCTTTGTAGATCAATCTCATGAAGTTGCGCGATAAAAGTTGGCGTCCAAATGGTGCAGTTGGTTCTAGTAAGTGAATCTGTGTGTTGCAAATCCATTTCTGTTCCAGTTTGGTGCTTATCGCACTTAGCGATTATTCTGGGGTGTGCGATTTACCAGTCATAGATGGTTAAATTGCCCCAATCGACCCACCTATTAAGAAATAAGGACCACTGCTACTGCTTTTCGAAAGCTTACCTGAAAAGTAATGAGAGATCTCCTCCATTCTATCATTTCGAATATAGCATTGGGGTCGATTCTGTTTATGGGTGAGTTGAGATGAAGCTGTGTGATAACACTTCCCTCTCCTCGCATCGTAGTTTGTTTACTAGCAAATCAACTAATAAAAAACGCTGATATTTTATGGAGTCATGCGACAGTTTTCTGTCGTGATCTTACTGTCTATCACAAATATTATTTTCGCTAGCTTATACTTTTTTACTAGTCTTTCGTAGATTTACTGGTTTTGCATGCATGAGTCTGCAAACATTCATTTCGCAGGCTTATGCTAAGTAATTTTGATGTTACGGCCTATTACCTTGATGTATTACATTAATCATTATTTAATGCTATTTTTCTGGTTGATGTTCCATACTTGCAATTTTGTACGTTATTATTAGGAGCGCAGCTACCATCGGAGTTGGGCAACACGGGTCCAGTCATCAACAATAGTGCGGGCAGTTTTCCCTCAGACTATCCAACCGGAGGTGGTAACGCAGATGCCACAGGACGGAGCATGGCGGCCTTCCTCTCAGAAGAGGAGGACAGTGCGGACTCCTCTACGGACAGCGATCGGGAGAGTGCGCTCACTAATGCCTTCGCTTCTATTCTTCCTACCGCCGCCGCTGTGGCCGTACCCTCCACTCTCTCTCCTGCCACACCAACCGCCTCAGACACAAAGTTGACTGACACTCAACGGGTGACATTTTCACCTGAAGAGAACACCGATCTGTCAGCCACAATGCCTTTTCTTCCCTTTATATATCTGTCTCTCTTATTGACATTTATCCTATGCATCCCTTCTTCCTTTTAGGCAAAGACCAAGGCGGCGATTGTACCGCATTATGGATAAGATAACTCGCTCTTCCTATTTTCAAAAGGCAGTCGATAGCAAATTTGTGCAACGTGGCATGGAATATGTCTCGAATAAGGCCATCAATCTCCAACTGGAGGTAGACAATTTCCCTTTGAGTTATACAAGCAGTGTTGGAGCAAAGTTTATTCGAGTAACTGTTTTAAGGTTGCATTTGCCGATTTTTAACAAGCAGTTTCCAAGTGGGCGAATTCATTTCTCTCATCCACTTGGGCGGCGAATATTTCAGGACTCCTAGAAAACGAGGCTCTACTACTGTTTAAGTATTTAACAGTTAGTGCTGTAGGCAGTATGATGAGAGCTATAAGCAGACCCGTGATCCGCTGAGGAATGTGCTGTACTTTCTCTGCTTCAGTGAACTAAATCACCCTGTCCTTAGTGGTTGGGTTAGGGTCGCGAAACCTATTTGCCCATTCATCCCAACGGTTTCCAATATTTTATATCATTTTTGCTCACTTTTCTCTAATCTGATTTGAAGGTCAGTACGCTACATGGCACTCTGGTGTTGAATCTTCCACCACCGCCCAGCGATCGCCTTTGGTATGGCTTTCGGGGCAATCCGAACCTCCGTTTCAAACTAAAACCTAAGTTTGGCGAGACATTGGTCACCATTCCTCGGTTCCTTGAGATTTTGGAGAAAAAACTTATCCTGGAATTTCAGGTAACTGTTACCTCAAATTAATATAACTTTATATATTCGTCCAAACCACAATTTCCGACTTTCTAAGATCCTCCTGTTTGTCAGTAGAGCTGATTGAATATATTTACAGAGCATTTAGACTTACATGAGCCACTTCATCCAATGTCATTGTTGATCATGGCTGAATTTGGCCACCTAATTCGACTTGCTCGCTTGGTCACAAAGGGCCTAGTACCGAAAAGCGATCGCCTCTTTCCCGTAACACGTATGTGAGCGCTCGCAATGTCTATGCAGTAGTGCCGGTGTTGTGAATCCAAGCTTAGGATTGGCAACACAAACCCTCAGAAGCTACACTTGGCTTAAATTTTTAATCTATCTATTTCGGACAGTAGTTGAGTGTTTCTCCTTCCCGAATCAATGGAACATTTGTTGTCCATAGCATGAAGATGGTGCTCTGGAAAAAGTGAGAGCAATAGGAACCATTAAAGGGATCAATGCAGTCAACCATTAAACGAGTCATGGCTTGGTCAATAGCGCAAATAAGGGTTGTTCACATGTATAAAGGTTTCTTGCAATCGCTTAATACATGCGATGCTTACAACTGACCAGAATTGAATAGATTCACTGTTTATCCCCACTGAAATTAAAAGCACCACTGGAAGCAGGAAATCTGACCCTAACCTTGATTGCTTTGATTGATTACTATTGTAGAGAGTTTTCGTGCTACCCAATATGGACGACCTTGTCATGCCACTACTGATACCAGAGCCGATTCTTAGATGTTCACAGAACTCTGAGCTAATGACAAGCACCGTACGCTACGATGGTAGGTCCTTCGGTGGATCGTCAGTTTCACAGCACGAAGGAACCAGTGAAGCTATCGCCTTGTAGTGATTCGCATTTTAAACTGAGCGTGAAAGATCTCTTCATGTGGGCTCAGTGACTGTTTCCCTTTCTCTTTCCTATGATGTCTCGTCTCTCATGCATAAACACTTCAACAGCTGGCTTTATTTTGACTACTTTTGTGAAGTGTAAGCAATTGTCAGAATTTATTTTATCTTATTACAGTAAAAGTTTGAGCTGCCGAAGGTTGGAGACCCATAAGGCTTTTGCAGGTGAGTTTTAGTGCGCCGTTAAAATGAGAATTGCTAAGAATAGAAGAGCGTTGAAACACTACGGCTAGAAATAGGTCTCAAATGGGGTCACAAATAACACTGATGCATAGCGAACTATGACATCATTAATAAAGTGGAAATAAGTTATCAAATGTATCAAAACTATGATGCTTGGTGGTAGAAGTAGAGGTAGGTTATTTGGCTACGGGGCCAGGCGTTCGCGATACCAGCCCTCCTCGCAGGGCTTTGAGAATTCAGAGATCGGCTTGTCTTCATCCGGTCTGAAGAAAAGGAATCGATCATGAAGACGCGTAGTTTGTCCCTGCCAGAATTCCATTCGATCAGGTACGACTGCGTATCCCACCCTGTGTTTAAGATTCGGCAAAGAGAACCGTCATTGGGGGACAAATATTAGCGAGGGCTGGGCGCACAGAACATACCAGGTTTCAGGTTTTGGGATGTGTTCATGGTCCTTGAATTTTTTTTCACATTCCTCGAAAGCACTCAGGATTTGCTGTGAAAACGAAATCAATGCTTAGTGAAGTATTATGCATGAAGGAACTGAAAGAAGTAGATAATGAACGTACCCGATCTGATTCAATTGGTTTACTTTGCTCACTGACGTAAGCAGAAATCTGACTTTTCTTGGAACGGGAATGGAAGTATTCCTCTGCCTCCACATCAGGTAAAAGACTTGCTTTCCCTTCAATTCGGACCTGAAATATGAAGCCAACTTGCATTAAACAGTAGTAAAATGAAGAATGAATTGGACTGCAAATACCTGGCGATTCAAGGGCTCCCAATAGAAAAGAAGACTGACGTTGGGATTGTTCGCCTAAGTACATAAAT